TTGGCAGAGTGGCCTGGCTCTGCTGGGCAGGCATTAGGTGGTGCTCAGGCACCCAAAGCAGCAGTAACACTGGCGTGGGGTCTAAGGGGCTCATTGCCCTCCCTGGGCCCCAAGGCTGGCAGTGACACTGGGAGGGATTTGCCTTCTCTTAGGTGAAGTCAGTGCTGGTAGCTGGAGTGTGACCAGATGTCTGGTACCTGCCCTGCACTTTCGGGGTGTGAACTGACTGAGAGGCAATCTGGGGGAGGACAACTAGAAAAGCTAATTGTGAGCTCTGTTATTTATATTTATGTAACTTGTGTCTGTAATAGAGTTAAGAACAACCTTGCAGTTTCCATGCGGCCTTGTCTCTTTCTGCTAGACTCTGAGCTCCATATGGTGCAAAGTGTGGCCAGCAGATTGCTGTGGGCCTATGGAATGTGTCCAGGCGGTGGGGCATGCTCTTACAGAAAGTGACCGAAAAAGGTCTTGGTGTGGCATCGTTGCTGGATGTCATTCTGTAAGCACCTGAGTGTTATAAGCTTGCTGTGAGTAGAATTGCAGTGACATTGCAGTCATGCTGAGTTCGTGTGGTTTCTGCTGCTGGGGCCACGTGGGGGGCTGGCAGCGAGGCCTCTCCTGAGGCACAGCAGGGCAGCTCTGCTTTGTGCTGCTCAGCAAGCGTGGGGACCTTGGAAAGCTTGCTTGTGTTCCTGATCAGAGGCTGCTGCTTTGGTAACCAATAGGCACTCTGAGGTCTGTTTGTCAGAGCTGATAACCGGCTGGGCACGGGCCCTGCTGAAGAACCGGATAGGCTGACCACTCAGCAAGGTCTGAGAGGGGAACTCCTGCAAGTCCATCCTGGAGCCAGGAGCTGGCTGAACCAGCTCTGAGGGATAGTCACGCCATCCAAATGTTATCACTAACTTACACTAAGTAAATAATTGTGGTATTTGGATTATCAGTGCAGTAAATAAGGATTTGTACCCCTGGATTGTAGCTTTGGAGCTAAAATAAAGTTCCATCCAAGTTCTGTGAGTTCTGCCAGTGTTACAGAGGTGCTATGATGTCTTTGCCCCTCGCTGGTCGCATTTCATCGGATTCATTTGAAATGAATGTGGGTGTTTCAGATGCAAGGATGAACCAGACCTTTGGCTGACTGGAAGAACATGGAATTGAGAAAACTCAGCATGAGACATAATGGGAAAGAGAAGCATTTTTGACTGGAACATGATCTGAATCTGTCCGGAGGGGCTGTGGTGGGCTGTTCAGCCAAGCCTGTGTGCTGGAGCAAGCCTTGGACACCCCTGACCTTGGGATGAGCACTGATCCTGCAGTGAACCTCAGGCAAGCAGCGGGGATGCTGCTCACGTACCACAAGCTTTAGCTAAATCCTTTTGCTGTAAGGAAAACAGTTGTTTCACTCCCAGTGAGGGGATGGTGAGATAGGTTTTGAAATGCAGACAAAGGAGACATTGTTTATCCAAGTTTTCCATCCTGTTGGAGTGGGAGGGTCATATGAATGCAGAATTGTTCTGTTGCAGTTGCTGACTGTGTTACTATTATTTATATAACTGGAGCTAATCTCCACCATTTGTATTTAAAAAAAAAAAAAAGGAAAGAAAAAAGAAAAAACAACTTCAAAACCACAGTGTTTACTCTCAGCACAAGTCAGTCGAGGACTCCACTCAGGAAGACTTGGGCTGAGTAGAGGTTCTTGCGCTGCGAAGACCAACAGCAGAGACTGTGTGGAGATGCTGTTGCTCCCAGAACACGATGCCACTGAAATTGGCCACCTCTGAGCATGGGTTATATTATCTGCTGAAGTGAATATACCTGCGTCTTGAGTGCTGTTCTGCACTGTAAAATGCATTACGAATTTGAAAGAACTTTAGATCAGTGCACCGTTTTTTGTAGCTGTAACTTAGTGTTAAGAACTACTTTCCAAAGCCTCCAGTTGCTCTTTGTGCTAGTGGCCATGGAGGAGCATGGAAAAGAGGACTGCTATTATGAACATGGGCAACAAAAAATAGAGGTTAAAATACATGACTTCCTCAGCTGGGTAGGATCTGGGCTTCTTATCTTTTTGAAAAATTCCCCTGAAGTAGTTTTTTGTGTTTTCTGTGGGAACTCTTGTAACTGAAGACCTGAATCTAAATCATAGCATCTGGTTTTTCCTGAAGTGGGAAAATGAACGTCTTTTCTGTCCTGCTGTTTCCAGCCTAACACTGGAAGCAAGCAAACCAACACCAGCCTTTGCCTGAGTAGGTAGTGTTTGCCAGCAGATGGCTGTCCACAGCACCAGAGGTCTGTTCCCTCTGGTCAGTAGGAAGAAGAGAACAGCCCCATATGCTGTGTTTGTTGTGGGCTGATGGCAAATTGCAGCCACTAGCCTGAGTGCTTCAGCCAACCCTGGCTGTGCTCTTGGTTTGTGGCATACAGTGTCTTTACACTGCTTAAAAAAGGAAGTGCGAGGAGGCTTGTTTCAAGTGTATCACAGAGCTGCTCTCATTGCTATGGCCACTAAAGCCCTTCCAAATGTTTGCCTTGGGCCAGACTCCTCTATGCCACTGGATGTCAAGGCACCAAGATGACCCTTGCCTCTGATAGTCAGCAATACCAAAGCTCTGTTAGTATCACAGTGACTGGGACAGAGCAACTGCTGGGGAGCATCTCCTGCAGCCAGTTTGGACAACAGCAAAGTGAGGAGATTGGCAGCAACTCAAGGAATGAATGGAAAGCTTAAATTCTCTCAATCCTATCAGACCTTCAGGCAGCAAGTTATCACTGTGTGAATTCCTCGAACAGCCCAAGCACCTAGCCATGCTGGCTGCAGAGCACCCACGCCGCTTGCTGAGCAGAGCTGGGAGCACTGCCCTGCTTGCACCCTAACCTGCATTCCACAGAATCATGCCAAAGAACATGGGAGAGTCTGGAAATTAACACGTTAGCTCCTTAGCTTGCTTGTACTGAATAGTTTAGGAAATCTGACTGCCTGTAATTCTCTAACTTGTGCCAGTAGGACAGTCCCACTATTAACTGGGCAGCAACGCAGTAAGCAGTGTTTGCAGTGTGTCTTGTATGTCCCTTGCAGCCTCAAGCATGTGACACGTTTGATTTGTTGTCTACTGCCACAAGATTAACACCTTCCACATGCATGGCTTGTACATAATCCCCACCCCGGGTAAATTATTTAAACGTTTTGGCAAAGGATTAGTAAGGGCTTCAGCCTGAAGTATGACTGCAGGGAACGCATGCTCACTGCTGGAGAGCTTTAGCATGATGAAACATAAGACAGTAGGAAGGATGGTAGGAAATCTTCAGTAAGTGTGATGGCAGTGAAGTAACATTTGATGTGAATGCTATTTTGAGTCTTTTTCATGACGACTTGTCTCTCTTTGGATAATATGTGGAGTTGCCCATGGGTGTCAGTGGCACAGCACTAGTTTACATTGGCAGGAAAGCAGAGACTGTGTGCCTCTGTGTGCTTTTCCATTGAGACTGGACACCCGTTTTGCTTTGCGTTGTGTATGTTTGTCTTGTAAGATCCATTTCCTCTGACTGTCAGTCTCTTAGTGACCCTGCCAGTGGAAAATCTCTTGTCCTGGGGAGGAAACATGACTCTAGTGGGAGCTACAGGCCCTACAGGCTGTGGGGTCCTGCTGGCTGCCCCAGGCATGGGGCTTAGTGCACCTGTGTGCCACTTCGCATCTGAGAACAGCAGTAAGGCCAGTTTTCCTCTCTTCTAGTGAAGAAGTGGGATAGCGTGGCATATACAGCCGTGCATGGACTTCTGAGAGGACCTAAGCACTAGAAAACTTAGATACCCGGGGGCTTTATGTTGGTGCTGCCACCTTGAACTTAGGAGCTAAATGTCCACCTCAATTCTTCTGCAAAAGTTTGGGTTTTCCCAGAGCAGAAGGGGTGCCAAGAAGTGCCCAATAACTCAAGGCTCCCACAGGGCTCTTTCTGCACCTCCATGAGGGCTGGTCTGTCAGCCTGTGGGGTACATGTCCTGAGCTGATGGCAGTAGTGACTGGAAATGCCCTGACTTTCAGTGATGGCAGCCAGGGCACTGAAGCTCAGAGCCTGCTCACAGTCAGGCTTCCAAAAAGTTGTGTACTCCTGTTCAGCATTGCTATGGCTGCCACTGTCACAGCACGGCCCAGGGTGCAGTTAGTGCACAGTGAGCTGCAAGGCACTTTAAGAAAAGCACTTTAAAGAAAACTCAGCTGTATTGTTAAATTTCTCATTTGTCTCAGATCATTTTTATCTTCTCTGTGGCGCTCTTTTAAAACTAACAGCAACAAAGGCCAATGGCAGTTTCCCTGCAGATGGCCTGTTTGATTTGTTTGCATTGCTGTGGTAGTGCAGGTAATAATTAACCGGTGGGTTCAGGTCTGTGCGGTGTCCAGGCTTTTGTTTGAGTTGGCCACTGCTCTCTCTGAGTGGTGTTTACACAAACCCACCAGTGGCTTGTTGCTCTGCTCTGTTTCCCTTTGTTCTCCAGGACTGACGCCTACCCTGTGCAAGAGCCCAAAGTGCTCCATTGGGCTGCGTTTCATCACTGCAGGGCTTGAGGCCTGCTGCCGGTGCTGCCTTTTAGGATAGGCTGGTAATACTGAGTGGCGTCATCAAAGCCTACAAAATCCTTGACTCCTGGCATCTTGGGCACCTCTGTCTTTAGTACAAGCTGGTTACCTAGGAGGTGGTCCTGCTCTGCAGAACAGCATCTCTTTAAATGTCTGTGGAGTTGGTAACCCAGCACTGGGGTTAATACAAATGTCTGCCATGTGCAGAAGCATGGAGGTAGCTCAGCTTCTTTCCACTTTTGTGGAATTGAGTGCAGTGTACCTTATTCAGCTTTATGTCACAGTGCAAATATTGACTAAGTAAATCAGTAAGGAGTGGTTTTGCTTCTTAAGGCAGAATGCTGAACTTAGTTCAGCATTAGTTAGTTGGCTATGATTAATTCAACTATGAATGCTAGTTGATCTCTTTCAGATCTGCTTATCTAGCAGATTCCTAAGAAAGTTGGCTTCTACTGCACAATTCAAAAAGAAGAGTACCACAAATACCTTAAGGAGCAGCAGAGAAATGCAGCTCCCGAAGTGGATGTGGCTGCAGCTGAAACACAGCATGGCCTCGGTGATAGGCTGAGGTCTTCCACTAGCTCTGTCATCATTTATGACATAAAATCTGGAGGAGCTGTGGGCTATTATAGGTGGACTGGTTAACCTAAAGTGTTCACGTTCAGGAATCACAGTGGGGGTGATGTGTAGGACGTGTACCTGCAGCACGAGCTGGGGAGAGCCACATGATGACAGATGGGAAGTGCCACTCCAAGCTGCCTGTGGGCAAGCAGTGGGGCTGCAGTGCATGTCATCTCCCAGGGCATCTGCTGTGAGAGCTTGCTCATGGCATGCTTTTCCTGGCTTGTTTGCTGTGCAAGTACTGCATATTTGAGTCAAAAGCCCTTGCAAGGTGGAGGACTAGGCTGAGTGAGATCCTGTAGTGTATGAAGGAGCTGCAAGTTAAAGAGAAGTTTTATAGGTGTTTACTGCAAACTTTTCTTTCATAGATGAGAGGACAAACCACACCCCAGATGTGTTTTGGTTTGGTTTTTGTTTTGCCTCCATTTATGCAGATGTAAGTTAGAAATAAGTGTTAAATTAATTGTGGCAAAAGCATCATGCATGCAAAATGAAGGAGCAAAACCACCCTCCTCGAGAATGTCATTTGTGCCTCCTGGGCCACAGGGAAAGTTGCTGGGCTGGTATGTTTGTATTTGCTGTGCAGGAGGCTGTGTATGGGTGAGGTTGCACAGAAATGAAGGTTTTCACAGGGAAAGATCACTCCCTGCCTTTGGCTCCATCTGCTTTACCGGGGATAAGCTAAGGAAACTTGTCTTTGTTTTTTGTTCCTTCTGCCTGAGCACAAAGTTCAGGGGTCATGCTGCTTAACTGCTGCCACATTTTGTCTTTTACCAAATCAGTGTTTAGTTTTTCTGCATGCACTCAAAAACAACTTTCTGAAGAGCCTTACACACACCAGTGGTCTGAAAAAAGACTGCATGCTCCTGCTCATGCAGATGGTATGTGTCTTTGGTACTGCTACCCAGGCATCCAGCCTGATGGCAGCGCCACCAAATGGAGCTAAGAGCCTGCAGCTGCAAAAACTAAGGCTGCCCTGCAGATTCCATCTCTTTGTGTACTACCTGGAGAACCCTGTCAGGACTAGCACACAGCCTGGCAGACTGGTCTCAGTGCACAGGGCTGCCAGCACTCCCAGCAACCACTGCCAGTGGGTTGCCAAAGGCCACCCAAAGCAGAGGTTGGGGTCCCTGATTCCAGCTGACTCCTAACACCCTGCTGTTACCTTTTTGGCTCTTCTAGGCTTCTGCCAGCCCACGGCCGATGAGCCTACCTCCCCAAAGAAGGCAAAGAGCGTCCTGGAGCACCTCAATGTGGAAAGCTGGTTCTCATCCACTGACCCTGAGTGGGCCACTGTAAGGGTCATCCCTGAGGAGGAAATGACGGAGCACAACCTCCTTGCTGTTCGAGTCATGGTCACCAGTGATGCAAGCAGGTACTTGAAAACATAAGTAGACCTTAACAAATGTACATACAGTGTATCTTAAAAAAAAAAAAAAAAAAAAAAAAGCAAGCAGCAAGGAGAGGAAAAAAGAGAAAACAGAAAAACTTCTCAGAAAAACAATTGTTCTTTACCACAGCCATAAATCCCACCAGACATATGACTCACTTTGCAGGAAGTATTCAAACATTCGCATCCCACACATGGGCCTGAGTCAGAGAGAAAAATATTACCCCAGTCATCTCGGGTTCAGCTATTTTTTTTTCCAAAATCTTCAGAGATCAGGATGTGCTGTGGCAAAGGTATATCCTGCAAACAGTCTCCTGCTACCTCTGTACCACAAGGCTGCAGCCTCAGTACCTCTCTGGGTATTTGTTGGCCTTCCCACCCCTAAGACATCTGAAATCCGAAGGCTCTCCAAGAGCTGTCAAAGGAAGTCTGATTTCTATTTAAGAACAGTGATACACTGGCATTCTGGACGAGATTCTGTGGGAGTTCACTTTGTTATAGTAAAGGTTAGATTGGTATCTTCCAAGTAAAGTAGTTTTCCTTACTGACAATTAAAGAAAAAAACAGCAAAGCAAACCCAACACTATTTGAGTTGCAAACAGAGCCATTACTCTGTGAGGAAGATGGCTCCAAATCTTGAAAACCTTTAAACACTCACTCATGGTAGTGTGTATAGGTTGTTGAGGACAACTTCTTTAAAAATGAAGCTTTCTTCTGTTCTATGTGGGAGTTTGAAATGATATTTGTGCTTTGCTGCACATCAGGTTGTTCTTCAGGAACAGGATTAATCTCTGCTGGTGTCTCCCCACAGGGAAATGAGAGCTCAGGGTAGAGTTTTCTGCCTATTGGACAGATCTTGCTGCAGCATGTCTATTCATGTCCACGTTAATACCCTGAGGCGGTTTGTGTCTCACACATGAGCAGCACGCAGAGAGGGGAGCCAGCTAATCTCCCTGATCTGAGGGATCAGCTCCTTTTCCTCCAGCTGTGACAGTCCTGTGTTTGCAGAGAGTCCCCTGGTTCCTGTCCAGGGTGACACTGCTCTTGTCACTGAAACGGTGTGTGTCAGAACCCCTGAGATCAGCCTCCTGCACTGCCTTCAGTGACCATGTGCTCTTACTGCTCCAGCCAGCGAGCCATTGCCTAAAAAGGCCGGGCGAATGAAATAGCAAGTGACAAATGGCATTGCAAGGTCTGACAGAGCATGTAGCCAGAAAAATGACCGGCTTGGTCAAACAGCTTTCAGTTCAAGCTTTAGTGTTTGTGGATAATGACTGCCTATCAAGCAGAGCTCAAAGGACAAGCCTCATTCTACTGCACTTATGACATTGCCAGCCAAGGGAAATAGATGTTTTGCACTTTAAAATAGAAATGTACCTATCAGCATTCATTGTATGTCTTTTTCTTTTGTGTGGTGCTCTGCCCAATCTCAGTGTAGAATCTTGCAATCTCAACTATCAAAGACTTACATATATGAAGAAGTGTGTGCATATATATAAATATAGGATGTATTTAAGTGTATATAGTATAACCATCACAGGGAACTTGCTAACCCTTCAGCTCTCGCTGTGCCAGTTGGATCTGGGTGAAGCAGGTGTACAGGGCTGGCTGCTATGTATACCATGTATACGTCAGCTTCAGAATGTCTGCAGCCAATATTTGAACTGGTCATGAGTGACACAGTCTCAAGTTATCAGAAATTGCTGCCCAGCCTGAGCCAACCACAGAGGTTTTGTTCCATCCACAGCCCCTCCTTTAGCACGTCTTCCTTTGTTGTGTGGGCTCTGTCCTGGGGCTGTTGTAATTAATCTTTGCTTTCTACAAGGCAGTGAATGCTACATAAATATGAAACAGCTTTCTCCTCCCATCATGCTAACATAAGAGGGCATGAGCTCTTCTTTTTCAAGTGGAACTACTAGTCATCACAATAAATCTAAGAATTAACTTAGCAACATTGTTTTCATTAAAAATAGGCTGAATTGCATGGTGGCACACTTATTTATGGTGGTGGGATTGTGGCAACATCAGAAGGCCTGAAAGTGCACACTCCCTACAATTTGGCTTTGAGAGATTAAAGAAATTCTCTAATTACTGGGGAAAAGAAAAAAAAAAAAAGACTAATAATTGACTGCAAAGGTCATTCTCCCACCCAGAGGCAAGGTCACAATGTGTGTGTCACTCTGGGTGTTTGTGTGGCATACTTTTAATTATGTTCACCTCTGGCCACTCCTTGCACTTGCTGCGCTGTCCCACGGCTAACTGATGTACTGAAGCCAAGGCTGTCTGCAGCAGGTGAATTCCAGGTTCTTTGCTGAACGCAGCAATCCTGGGTCTGAATCTGGATAGCAGAGATATTGCAGGAGCGTGGATTTGTCAGCTGTGTTGCATCTACAGTAAACTACAGGGCTGCAGTAATAACAACAAAAAATGCAAAATTAAGATGCCAGCTCTGACTGCAAAACCTCTATTTCTCTATAGGCCACACAGTTGTCAGTGCTGATGCTGGTGCATGTTGCACAGAAGGGGAAATGAACACCTGCATTCAGTGTGTCTTCTGAACTGCCCATCTCTTTTTCTTTCTCTCCTCTTCTCCCTAGCTCTGAGGGGGAATCTGATTTTAATGGCAACTCCTCCAGCTCTGAGGTGAGTGAAGGACAGACCTCGTTGCTGGAGCCCCCCGCCTGCCCAAGCCCCCCGCGCCGCTGGACATTGCTTGCCAGGAGCCCCATGGCACCAGAGGAAAGCCACAGGGCATCCAAAGTCATTGATGGTAAGTGGCATCTCCCACACCTGGGGAGCTGAAATCAGGGTTGAAGGGAGAGATTGTGAAGGAGAAGCTGCTGCCAGTGATGTGGCCAGGTTGTATTCTTAAATGATGTCTTCACTTTGGAGGATTTACGCCTTTTGGGTGCCCCGTTCTGCACATTCCTTTCTTTTTTACTCATTAGTTGAATCATAACATTTATTTTGGTTGAGTTGCACCCAAACACATACAGTTTGCTGCAAGGCACTACCAAACACAGTGCTTCTGGGACACCTGAGGCAGTAGCACCTCACACCCAGCCTGTGGGGTGGTGAGCACTGTCCGTCTGCTAAGACCTGGGGGTGTTTTTAGCAGCCTACACCATATCTGTGACATTAACTAAGCAAGGGCAATTTTTGGAAGCAGTAGAAAGCTCTGCTCTGTTTGGTTCATTTATATTTATATATAGCTGCTTGAACTATTTATGTCCACAGAAAGCACACTGAGGGAAAGGATAGAACTGGTGGGGGGGCAGTTGAGAGTTTTAGGGGCAGTCTGCTTCCAGGGGAAAACTCCTTCCTGGAGCCGGAGTTCGGGCCTCTGTGGCAAGGACTGCCATGTTTTAGGGCCTTGTGATGATGTGTCGGATCTGTGGAGAACCTGCTGCCTCAGCAAGTGTCTCCAGAGCTCTGCCAGGAGTGGCTGCACACCCTCCTGAGTTAGCAGCAGCGGTCCATGGGCACAGGCCTGCCCTCGGGCTGTCCGGCACTTTGGGGCAAGGGCGGCTGTGCTGGTGCAGTGTGCAGGTGGAGCAGGGGAGCAGCTCTCCAGTCAGCATATACAGGTGTAGCCAGGGGAACTGGTTTGGTATGAACTTATGTCCATATTGTCAGCTCATCCCATGCACTGATAGCTCATGACTGGGACCCTGAGAAACTTGATGGGGCTTGGGGCTTTTTAATTGCATTTGTTGTTATTGCTCTTCTCCACGTGGAAAAGGCTATTTTGAAAACAACTTTTATGTCAGATATTACATGTTCCTGAGCAGTGGTGATTCTGACTTCACTGTGTGTTTAAAATGAAAGAGTTACGTTAAACACCAGTGTTCTAAGCATCCCTGGTGGGTTTTTATACCAGAGGTGCATGTGGTGCTCAAGCATCCAGGTCCTCGGACTTGTTGTCCAGGGCTTTGGGCAGCCCTCAAAGGCTTCCTGCTTTGTGTGAGGAGCCTTCTGCTGCGATGGAAGAGCTGGAAGATGATTTTTACTGCAGTAAACAGCCATCAGCATTCATTCCTTCCCGCCTCCCACCACCCCCGTGTGTGCATTTTTAAGTGAACCAAATAAGGGGATTTTGCACGGCATTTTAAACTGACTCCTGAATAAGGAGGCCTTGTTTCGAGGGCAGAGACCCCGTGGCCCCGCGCACCGCGGCCCTTTCCAGCCCCGCAGTGCCCCCTCCCGGCCGACCCCGTGCTGGGGTGAGCTGATGTCTCTTTTCTGCTTCTGTTCAGTGCTCCAGAGAGCCAACAGCTTCCACTCCACTGCCTTAAATAAGTATCAGAGTTGGAGGAGAAAAATCCAAACGAGTAAGTACAGCCTACGAAGCAATTGCTTCTTACTTGCACTGCATCCTGTATCCTTCCTCGTAAATGTCTGTTTCTTCATCTCCTTTCCTTTAGAAATTGTGAATTGGAGTTGCAAGGTGAGGAGGCTAGACTAAAACTCAGCAGATATTTTATTTCCACTTTCTTGTCCTGAAAAGATCAAATTCTCCTTTTGTTTGATTGCTTCTGTCTTTATGACTAATAAGGGAAGCCACACAGCATTTATTTCTCCATGTCTAATTCATATTACATCTCCTATTCATTTACCACTGTAGCACCCAGATAATTAAGAAACCAGCGTTACTGGTTCTCTTCTGACAGTTCTGTGTGATTTGGGCTGAACCTTCTCTGCCCATGGCACTCAAACAGGAACGTGCTGAGTTCAGTAGCAATCAGGTCTGTCTGCAGTTCACCTCTGAATCTCGGGGCGGTCATTCCTTGCATCCAGGGCTGTGTCTAAGCAATCTTCCTTCTGGGCTGCCCAGCCCTCCCCAGTCAAACCGCCGCTGTTTGTAGCAGGGCCAGCCAGCCGCCTCAGTGCAGCTCTTCTCCCTGCAGGACTGCTGATACTGGCATGGGAGCTGGGTGCATTTACCAACATCTCCTAAAACAATTCTGTCTGTTAGACTGGAGCACTGACAACCTGAACTGTAAAACTGATAATTTGCAGGTATCCATCGTGGGAAGAACTTTATGCCTAAAAAAAACAACCAAACAAACAAAAGATACATCTCTCGTGTTCTGGCACCAGCTTCATAATAATGTCTGATATCTTCAGCTGCACATAAATGCTGCCACTACAGACCTCGTGGTCCTTTCTGGTGCCACATGTCTGGGATAACTCACTAAGTCTCAGCAGATGGCTCAGGGGACTAATCTGAAGATACTCTCACCAAGCTCAACATCCCTCCAAACAGGCTGTCCTCAGAGAGGCAGCTGTGGCAAAAGGACAAACAGAAAAAACAGGATGGGCTGTGTTCCCTGGGATTAACTGCACCCTGAGGCACGGGGAAGGACTCTCTCTGAGAGCGATTCATTCATTAATTTTGATTCATTTTCAGGTTGTCAATAACTGTATTACTTTGGGTTGTTTTTTTTTTGCCAATTTTTTTCTTCCCGTTGTCTTATTAAAACATCTTGTGCCTCCGAAGGGCTCTAGGGGGAGCCAGAAGTCTTTGAGAGGAAGGCTACAAACTACATGAATTTGTCTGAACTTCCAGTATGCTTTTAAAATGAGGTGTAAAGTACATTCCGCATATACTGGAACAGAATAAAGGCAATTTTTACTCTCTGGGGGAACACTGTAAGTCATAGTTTCTATATTTAATCCACTTAATATTTAGTTACGACAATTCATATGATCATCAGTCACATTAAAGAGAAACCTGTCTCTTCTTCAGACTTACTTCCCAAAACACATATGTTTCATAAACAGCATGAGGTATGCCGCCAAGGAAAGGAAATTGGTGTCATTTCTATATTGGCCAAAGATTCAGGACAGGATATTACCTTTCAGAATCTGTAATCCCCGTCTTGCATCCATAGACAGTGCTGCACTCTCATTTGTTATCTTGGTCACAGTGAGGAGCCTCTGTGCCAAGCAGATTTTTGTAATGCCCTAGAGACTGATTTATTTTTTTTAAATCATGTTTTGAATGTTAAGCTGCAAATGTAGGTTCAGCATGTCACTGGGAATAACTCAATTATCTCTGCACAATGAGCTAGGACGTTGTGTGAAGTGATACTCTCGCATGTACAGGCCCTGTCATTCACCTCTGCAGGAGCTGCTATGGGAGATGCTGCTGTCCCACAGAGCCCTGGGGCTGCAGAAAGGAGAAAAGCTATTTCCTCTGTTGTATGTGGTAATGGAAAAGCCATGCTGGAGTGCAGCTTCTTTCTCCAATCTCACAACCAAGTGCCTTGGGGAGACCAGGGGAGGACATCCTCTGGCTAGGGCAAACCTAGGAACTGCAGGAAGATCTCCATCAGCTGCAGAGCTGAATGGGACAGGAAGGTCACAGATCTGCAGATGTCCTGGGACATGTGGTGAAGGGAAAGGAAATCATGTTGTTAGTGGAAAGTAAGAACTGGGGCAGGATGAGATACTCTGTGAAAGTGAAAATGGAGGAGCCCAGGTTTTGTAGGTGTTTTTTTAGAACACTACTACTGGGCTCTGAATATCTGGAATTATTTGAAAGGTCTATTTCCCCTTTTTCTTTCCCCTTTTCCCCCTGTCTAGAAAACTCATTGCAAAAAGATATAGCAAGACTGGCTGCAGATCAGAGTTGTGGTATCCTTTTTAATTGGGTGACAAAAGCTGGATTTGTCTCAGTTCAGCTCCTTGTTGCTGGTCCCTATGGGAGTGCTTTAATGAACTCCAGCTCACCATCTCTCTCACTTCTTGACTGAGCATTAACAACTTGCATCAAGATTGGGAACATACAGGTAAAACACCAAGAGGAAAGGAAATTTGGGCTCTTTCCGTGGCTTTCCTTTTCTGAAGTCCATATGCAGGAACAGTATTCTGTGTGTTGTTTTTGTCCTGTTGTAGCTTTTAATTTCTGTATAGAAGAACCAGTGTTTGCACTGGGAGCCTTTGTTTTGGAACTAATAGCTGGGTTTTTGGAGTTAATAATTCAGCTATAAATATACCTGTCACATCAAAACTTGACATGGGATTATCTTGGCTCAGCCTTACTTTTCTGTCATCCCAAGGCTATTTATTATGTCCATTTCTCACACACACAAATATTAGATCTGCTGACTCCAGATGCAAGTTACTTACCTGCCTCTTCTTCCAGTGGCAGTTTAGGTTCCAGACCTTTGGCAGTTAATTATTCTGCCTCATCCTAGAAGAGCCAACATGCTGCTCTTTGGCCTGACTTAAGAGACTGAAGAATTTTTTCTGCCCTTACTGCTTGTAGGTGATTGCCTTTCTCATGACTTTTGTGTTCAGATGGCCATCCCTCTCAGAACTTACCTACTTTTCTTTGTTTCTCAGAACTAACCAAGGCTTCAGAAGTAGCTGGTTGTTTTGTCTCTGTTTTGAATGTCTGAAAGCTCTTTTAAGAGGGCTGACTTTTATAAGAAAGTTCCCCATTACTGAAAGGCTGTTTCACTTCATTCAGAAAGAAAGTAGAAAAAAGTCAGGTTAGTTGCTGAAAATGTCAACATGTATTATGTATAGTGTGCAAGAGAGGCTATAAACTTGATTACTACAGGTCAGCTCTTCAGGGTAAAACTGTATCCAGATGACTCTAACTTTTTACTGTCATTCTTTAATTGTGAACTTTATTTAAGACAAAAATAATATGAATACAAAGGTAAAAATGTGTGTCTTTGGCAGATTTCCCTCTACTGGCTAACAAGAAGCCTGGGCTACGCTGGAAGGACAGCTCAGCCAGCTGTCAAAGCAGTCTTGGAGAGGATCACCCCCAAGCACAGGTAAGAAGGAGAACTGAACAGAGCAGCACAAGCCTAACTACTCTTGGGACGTTTGCTCTCAGCAGGCTGAGTGTCCTCTGCGATTTCAGATTGTTTTGGTCCTCACAGTCAGCAACTAAAGTTGGAGTTATACTTTTGTTATACACAGGGAAAATATTTTGATGCTCTGATTGAGATAACCGTTCCCAAATCATGTGGCAAAGTCACTTTTTCTTCCTGTGTAAGACTTTGGTTGTCCTGAGGTTTGGATACAAATGTGTTATGTCAGCCCACATGTAGGCATCTCCAACTTGCCTTTCTCTCACAGCACACGACTTAGTTGCCACTGAGATTTGTTTTGTGCCACAGTTTCATCCCAAAGAGCAAACCCCAAATCTCTGATCCTCAGTGCTCTGGAGCTGGCTGTTGGTCTGTGCACAATCTCCTAGGTCTGGACAGGAAGTGGGTCTTCATGTGATACATATTGGCCAAAAACTGTATGTCAGCAGTGAGAGGGTAAGATGGTATCACTCCCAGGTCACTTAAATGTAACCTCCATTGCTTTGTCTCTCTGATGGGAGGCAGAGCAAATCTGAGAACCACGGTAAGACACCAAGTAAAGACTTACATAGTGCTGGCCAGGAGAGCCTAGCACTGGAAACTGGGGTATTTTAGTGTGGTATTTTAGCCCTTAGAGTGCCCATCTCTAATGTTTACTGCTTGCATCCATTGGGCAGAAGATGCCTTTTCCTAATTTGCAGTAGGCACTTGACTCCATACCTCTCACAGCATCTTCATCTTACTTCAAGGCTTAGGGTACTCTTTGTATTTTCTGCTTTTGGCACTGCAGCAGCAGTAGTACCCAACACTCCTAAGCAGAGCCCAGTCAGTCCCCCTTGCAACTTGGAGCCAGGCCATGTCCTATGTGTCGTAGCCTGATGTGCTTGCTCTTGGATCAGAAGTGATTGGAATTGCTTGACCTCAGGCTCTGCATTATATAAAAAAGAAATCAAGTCTTCTACATCCACGGTGCCAGCTGCATTCTGGTCTGGGACAATAGGGCCAGGAAGGAAATGTCCCACGAGAGCAGAGCAGCACAGTGCTGTCTGGTTGCTGTTCACAAGGAGGGGTGAGACCATACTGCAGCTTCCACTCGTGGTGCAGTACTTGAAAGCCTTTGTCTTGCTCTTACAAGAGAATTTAAGAAGGCGTTTGTGTGTTTATTGTTGTTTATCACATTTTATCTGAGAGCCTGGCCAATGTTCATTTCAGTCATCAAACACAGCTGTGAAGTAGAGGGTAGTCACTATTACCTTCCTGTGTGTCTAGAAATTGAAAAGTCTGATTATTGGCTATACCCATATGAATTTGGGAGTCTGGCACAGAAGTGGAAACAGACATTAAGTATTCTAGCCAATAGTAATCATACAGCATTGCAGATAAAATGGCCCACTTCTAAAAAGTTAAAAAAATCTCTAGAATTGGTCTTTTGGCTTAGTAAAGTAGACACTTATTCTTGTTACTATCAACAGCAGAAGATTTCAGTGTTTGGAATAATAAATTTAAGTCTTAACCAAAAGAAAAATCATCATAAAAGAAAACTAATTGAATTGTTTAAACTACCATCTTACATTTTACATTTATTTCTGGGTCGCTTCATTCATTCCAACCTGCATTATCTGAGTATGCAGTATTATAAAAGCAGTTGGAGAGAATGGATTATGGCCACATGTGCTTTCTGTAAATTCCAACATGATGCAACAGAAATGCACACAGGAGAATAGAGCAGATTCACTTTTGGTTATTTTCTCATATTTAGGTCTCTTTCTTTCCAAGAAAAACATTACAGGCAATTCATAAAGAGATGGCAGGTTCTTAGTATGAATTACATTACTTGTAGGCTATTAAATCTTCCAGTAGAGCATCAGTTCTCCACTCTTAGAGCAATATTATTCCTTTATGGAAAAAAAACCTTTTAGTTTATTGTCAATTACATATGTTTGTGTGTGGATGTACACAGTAAACATGAAAATTAATTTCTAGTATTATGTTTAGATTGAAATTGATTAAAGTATTACATAAAAGATGCTCTAGGCTGTGTTTTTTCCACTGGCACAATTTTATTTGTTCACGCATTTGACAGTTGGCTTCTTACAAGAAACCACCAGAAGTTACGAGGGGACATGTCAAACCCTACAGCCCTGAATTCCAAAGAAAAGCCAGAGAGAGGCCTCAAGATGTCCATCCCCACGTGCCTCGTTGTCCATTTCAGAGCAAGGTCAAAGGTTCTCCACAGATCTCTCCTGGGAATGGGGCACGGGCTGCTGGTTTTTCTGAGTGTGAAGATACAGATGGTGACACTGGGAGATATACAGGCCAGGGCTGGAATGAAGTAAAAAAGAGTTATACCTCTGAATCAGAAGATTTTAATGGGAATACGAAAGTGATGTCATCTCTGCATCTGAAAGAAAAAGATGAGAAAAATACAAGGCACCTAGAAGAAAAGCTTGAGCAAGAGCAAAAGGAAGCAAAAAAAAGGCTGGTTCTTTGCACGGAACAACAAGCTATGTATGATTCAAATGGGGTGTACTTAGGTGGAACCACACTGCAGTGTCAAAACAAAAAAATGTTGGGGATTTCAAAGGAGAAGAATACTGAATGGAGAAGAGGTGTTTTCAAGCCATCTGGTTGTCCTGTGCCTCTCTTATTTGTAGATGATGTGCCACCAGCTTTGCCAGTTGACATGAAAGATGCTCTGAGGAGTCCAGACAAAACTGCCAAGGAGCATTCAGCTGGCCAGCCAAAATCACCACTGAGGCTCATTGCCAATGCGATCAGGAGGTCCATTTTGGAACCTCTAACTTCATCTCCAGAAGGACTAAAGCAGGATTCGGACAGCAAAACCAAAGCCTCTTCAGAACAAGCTTCTTTCAGCTTCCCTAGTATTCTTGGCCATAAGAACACTAACAACAACAGAGCAAGTAACAGTCAGCTACAGGAGCTTCAAGTAAGGAAGCAGGCAGGAGAACATTTAGGATGTGGGAGCCTTCTCTCAAGTGCTTCTAAGTTTTCTGCCAGCTCTGAAGAGAGATCTCCAAGTGACACTAAGGACGTGTCCTTCCCAGTCTACAGTCCTCACAGCAGGCCTTCCAAGACTCCTAATATACCTCAGAAACCAACTTGCACTAGGATGGAGGATGTCCCAGGACTCCTAGAAAAGTTTACTTTTAATGAAACTCCTTCAGTGGCTCCCAAGGATGATGTATTAATCTGTAATGAAAAGTACCCTCTTGCTTCATCTCAGGAACCCTGGAACACCCCTAAGGACAGCCTGCATGACTCTGCACAGAAGGGTAGTCTTTCACTCTTTGAGAGACTAAGAAGTAAGATTTGTGAAAGAGAAGGGAATTTCTCCATGTCATCTCTGCCTTTCATGAACGACCATTCTGCAGAAGACAGGCTACATTATCCTTCCACAGGTGAGAAACTGAGTGGGATTATTTATTCCTAGCACTTAACATTTATAAGGTTGATCTGCTGTCATGTTTTATGTTTCTTTTATATTTACTGTCTACGTAGGAAGGCTTAATAAATCTTCCTTAAGGTTTTGGAGTTGCTTCTGGTTTAAAGCTGTTGCCAGAAGTAAGGTGAATATGCAAGCAGTGCACAGCATGCTGGACCCATGTTTGCTTACTTCAGATGTATATTTGAAACAGGAAAACATGCTGGAGTAGGAGCAGTAGAGCAGAATGGGATGGTGTGCAGAGCAGTTGCTGTCATGACACTGAGTGCAATGTGGAGTATGTTTGATACCTTCTGCATGAGAAGCTCAGGCACTGAAACAATTGGACTGCAGTAAGAAGCTTTGCTGCAGATGTCCCTTTAATCTTGCTTACTGTCGCAGTGACCAATCTGAAGGCATGCTTTGGGAGTGTTGTGATGTCATTAATGTCCCCCATTCCTTTTCTTGAGAGGAGATAGCACCTTACTGACCTGCTATGACCTATTTGCAAGTTATTAAAGCCATCTATTTTCATGTTTTCTTGCAAGAGCACGCTTAATATTGAAACTGCAGATAAGGTTAAGAAATACTGATGTCAGACCAAGAACAACTGGTGTAATCTGAGTGTAGGCTGAGAAAGAATTAAGTGCAACACAGTGTAAAATATAAGAGGTAAGAGAGATGCACCTGCCTTTTTCCAAAATCCATCTTTCCAACAGCCCTCCACAGAAGGCTGCAGTTGTCTAGCTCCATAACCTGTTGAATTTGATTGGCATTCTTACTTGTGCCTTATTTCATGAAATTGTAACCCACATTCAGCATGAAAATAACGATCTGTATGTAAAATACTTGTACAAGTAATGGAGCGTATGAGAAGTTGCTGAAATGTTCCCCTTGAGCTGCCAGACCCCTTTGTGATACTCACTGAAATTGACAGAATAACTTGGGCTCTCATTCATGGACTTTTAGATCAGAGTCTTGAGCCTCCTTATCTTGCAACTTGCAAAACCACACTTTCCCATTAAGCCAGAGGATGCTAAGGGCTGCCCCGAGGCCACAAAGTTTTGGTACTATTCACACTTGTCACCCTATGGTCTTAAATGAAAAGCTTTTTCTGAATCTATACCAAGTCATCACCTGTACTCTAAGCCAAGTTGACTTGTTCTTAACCAAATATATTACAACAACTGATACATTCAATTCCTACAAGAATGGAAAAGATTCTTGTTAGGTTTGAACAATACTGTGCTTTATTTGCATTTGAAAATTTTTGAAGACATGATGATTTAATAATGTGCTGCATTCTTCTGCTGTGCAAGCCGAAAGAGGAATTATTAAATTATTAGTCACTGAATATGAGCATTGCAAATTCTATTCAGAAGAAAAAGATGCAGCTTGGAGATCTAGCCATTTGCCCAGGAATCTGGCATCTTCAACATTTCGACACTGCAGCCCCTTGAACTTTTTCAAACATTCATACTTTGGGAAAGTCAAATTAGTAGAGAGCACTCTACTCTGAAATGTAGCTTGTCTCATACTGGCACTTGTCTGAGGCCCAGGCTTGGCAAATCTCAGTCATGAACTGCTGATGAGTTTTGGCCTATGTTACAAATCTTGATTTTTATTTTTACAGTTTACCATTGATCTTAGAAAATTTATTTTCTTTAAAGGAAAAAAAGGAACACTTTAATGAGACTTGGCTTATATTCCTCTTGGTTCTTTTCAGTAGTGTTTTTCTGTCTTATTCAGGGCCAGACAGTCTTGTTCTGTGCAAGTATGCTTGGTCTTTCATTACTCTGCTGATTTCTCCCTCGATGGGATGTTGGTTGTGGAGCCAAAGAATGAGCTGAGTAATAAAAGTCCCTGGGATTGAGATGAGACTGGAGAAGCTCATTGAAGAGAAATCCACTGAGGATTAACCAAGTGTGTAGAAACCACATTCAGTTCAGCGAGCTCCTGAACTGAAAACGTGCTTGAAGGCTGGGTGAGTTATTAAGGGGACAAATCACACACGACTGCCCAGTGTTTATGGTGCTGTTTTAGACATCCACTGTTGGAAAGAGACGAGAAGGACCTTCAGTCCCACTCCACACGATTACTTCTATGTTATGTTGCTCATCTTTCCCTATGCCTTATCTGTTACTTCATCTGCAAATACATGTCCAGATGTCTTCCGTGTGCTGTTGACTTCTGCATTTCAGACCCAGATGTCTGCCCAATCTAAAACTGTATTCCTACCTTCTGTCATCTCCTGCCAACTGTTCAGCCACCAACTGAAACTCAGCATGATGAAAAAGAGATCTTAATTACTCAGCAGCAGATTGCCTGTCATTCAAGCTTACTCCTGAAGTTACATCTTCCATATGAGTAATCTCAGCTTCTTATCCAGAGCTGATTTAAAGGCTTTCTGGCTGTTTTATAAGAGTTATTTCTCCTTACTAAAGTAGTGGGAATTCATGCACTGATTTCAATGAGAAATTGTTTTTTTAAAAAAATCCTATTTGAATACACAGGTGTCCCCAAACAGCCAGGTGTTCTTCTTTGATCAATAAAACTGGTCAGTCTGGTGGCTAACTGATCTCCTTTAAGCCCATTTGCCCTTTTGAAACTTAAAGAAAAGTAACAGCCAAAGGCCTGTTTTACTTATAGGTATTAAAAATCTTTAATACCACAGAAACAACAACAACAAAACAACTTAGAGAGAAACAAAACAAGCCAGTTTGTATAATAGAGGTGCAGTTACTATAGCATCTGCCTTCTCTTGCTGATGGCTGTATGCAGTAGCCAGCTGTCAGATATGTTTGCAGTGAGATACAGGGTTTAGAGTAGAAGTTGCATGAAAACATTTTTAGAATTATCCTTCAGAGTAGATGAGAGTTATTGCAACTCAATTTATGGCTGTTTGTTGTTTACATAGCTGATTTAATTAAGCAGAATTACTGGTTCAACTGATTAAAAAAAAAAAAAGATTAAACATATTATGAACTCACTTTGCTATTTTTGTGCACTTTTAGATTGAAAGGGGATTATTTGCAAATAGTCTTGTGCACAGTTCCTATTATTGCATCTTTGTACAATTGAAAATGTTTGCAATATTTGTGTCAGCTAGGACACTCTAATTTCAGTGATTTCATGTTTTAGGGAATGCTAGAAGATTGAATTACATGTCTGAGATCCCAAGAAAAATCTCTGGAAAAGCAGAGGTCTGGAGCCAAATCGCCCTTGATTTCTTCTTGCCTTTCTTTCATCTCCTACCTGATGCAAATTCCTATCTGGCTTGGGACACCAGTGTCCTAAGAGATGTGTCCTTTTGCCTTTCTCTTCTGTAAAACACTGATGTACTCAAGGGCCATGATTAACTCCTGTAACCTTATAAAAATATGCAAATCCTGGACATTTACATAGGAAGCCAACAGATTAATGTAACATTATAAAAATTCTGCTATAAAAATAGCTCCTGTTTCAAGAATTTCAGTGTAGTTAAACCACAGTCATTAGTGTGACACAGAATTCTTCCAGGAAGCAGAGGTGAGCTGTGATGTGCATAACTTCTGCAGTGGGTCTTCCTCTGTAAATCTCCAGGACAGTCAGCAGTCGGCCTCCTCCTCCTACTGAAGCTGTAACCTTCTCAACGTGTCTTTATGACACTTCCCTCTCCAGAGAACCTCAGGTTTTCAGAAAAACTAGTAGCCTGGATATTGAGAGGGATTTGCAAAAGTACTGTACGTGAGTCCAGATGCTCCTACTGAATGCAGTGAGGGTTTTCCTACTGATGGCATCCAGCGCAGGGCCCTTTGGCCAGAACAAAGTATCTTTGGGACTCACCCTTAGATTACCAAGCTATAATGCACTGGCTGTAGAAGAAATTGTAGCATTATAGACATAGTTCATCTTGTATCTTACAACACACAGACATGAGGATGTCAAACCCCAGTATCAAGAACTGGAGACTTTCTTCAGCTTTCTACTCTGAGTTGTATTCTGTGTTGCTGTTAGAACCAATTACAATTAATAATAGTAACAATTAATGGTGACTTCCCTGTGACTTGACAGCTGTACATTAGGCATGCTGGGAATGTCTTTTGATGGCACTCCTGTTAGTAACTGTTAAATATAAGGCGAGAAAGGTTTAATAAAAATTTCAGAAACGTTTGTTCCTTTCCCCTCTAATGAAGAATTAAGAATAATGAGACATAGCTCACTGTTCTTGGCCATCCGAAGACGTGTTAGCTGGGAAGGAAAAGCTCTAGTATAACATAGATTAATTTAGAAGGGAGGTAGATGGTTGAATTCTTCAGAAATAAGGGAAGAATAACTCTTGTTTTGAAGAAATGAAATGGAGGAAAAAAGAAAGACAAGAAGAGCTGAGTTAGTATTTGGAAAACATGTATGTCATTGAGAACTTCTCAGTGGCTAGCAAGCCTTAAGGCTTGATGTATTTGAAGAGAGAAATTACTTGTATCTAATTTGACTACACCAATTCTAAATTTCATATTTAAATGAGCAATTAATGTAAAATGCCTTAAGTAGAACATTATCTGGAAATTCCTGGTCCAAATTCCCACAGCTGGCAGCGAAATTCTGCCTATTCCACCCCTCTGGAAAAAAGGCAAGTGAAAAGCTTAATGCTCGGGCATCTATAGTAGAATAGGTAGATGCTGTAATACAGAACAGTGGTTTCTTCAAAATTAGAATGATTTTTTTCTAGTTCTGCATAAAGCAGTTTGTTCATTGAAGTATTTTCTTACTATGCTCGTTATTATTGTCTTGAAGTTGAAATCAGGACAATTTCAAGTATGTTTTTCTGCTCTTTCCTGGAACAAAGAAGCCAAGCAAAAATAGTTGAGGTGAACACAGAGTGGCTGCCCCTTTACTGTTGGAAGTAAGGCACTGTTTCACTAACTCTGTACCCTGAAATGTGGCAGTGCCATGCATCTGAGAGCCAAAACCTCACCTTCCTTACTCCAGTTTTTTCACTATTCACTGTGTGTTTATGGGGTATCTCTCTGGAGCACCAAGGTTTTCAGTTTTCCATGTTGTATTAGTGGAGAGCTCCGGTGATGTGAAACATGCGTGCAGTGCGTGGGACAGAAGCCATAACCCAACACACACAACTCAGGCTATGGGACAACATGTATGAGTGGGTTCCCAGGGCTCACCTTCCTGGAGACTTTGCAGGTGGTGAACTCCCTGGAGGCTGCTTCTGGTGGCCACTGTCTCCCAAGACTCAGGATGCAGCATCCCTTTACAGGCTGTTTAGATGTTTAGGAGCAGCTTAAATGGCTTTTCTCTGCAGAGCGAGGTGCTAGCACATGGCTCTCTTAGCTGACAGGCATTGGCAAGGCTGTGGACATGAATTTATTCCAGGTCCTCATGCTCATGAGATAACCCTTGATGAAGGTCCTTGGAGATGTCAGCAATCCTCTCTCTGTTCCAGAAAGACACCTGAGGAGAGGCGGGTGCCTCTGCTATATTTATATAGAGAAAAAACAGTCTGTTTTTTCTCTAGACTTTGTAACACTGCTTAAATTATTGATGTTGCTCAAAGAGAAGAGCATGGAGAAGCCGTCACTTATTCCCAGAGCAGAGAGAAGAAAGGGAGCGTGTAATTGCTTGCATGGCCAGCACTGCGGGGGCTCCCCAGAAGGTTTGCCCATTGCATATTATGATATATATTGATTTCACCCTCAGTGTGACTGCAGGATAGTTACTGTGCTAGTTTGGTTGTACAAAGAAATGCGAGATAGGTGAATTAACTCCTCAAAAGAAATAGTGAATGCAGTACTGCCCATGCCTTCTTCTGTCTCCTGCACTGGCAAGGCTGGCTGTCCCTGCTGGCCTGCCAAAAAACCCTTTGAGCTTGCAGCTCCACTGAAGGCAAGGACTGGGTGCTTCCAAAAATGAAATGTTTGGGGGAAATATCAGAATTTTGTCTCAAATTACTTGGATTTGCTCTCATTGCTTTACCTCCTGGGATGAACATGTTTCTTGGCTCCAGGTTTTAAATCAGGGTTTGAGACAAAAATGCCATCTCAGGACTGAGATGAAGGAGAAGGCAAAAGAAAGAAGCATTCCCACTTAACGAGTGGGAAGTGATTTTAATCTGATTGCAACTTGCACATAGAAAGCTAACTGTTATACCTAGCAGATAAAAATAAATAAATAAATGCTGGCTTTAAATAAGGTACGTTTCCAAGATGTTGCCCAGCTGTTAATCATTAACCCTATAGCAGGTTGAAGTGTAGAGACAGATGTTCCAAAAGCAGTTTTATTTTCTTAAATAAAGAGAATGAAGCTATGAATTAGACAAATTAAGAAGAAATTCAAATATTTACACCCAGTTGAAACAAGATGCTGGGAAAACAGGCATTATAAAATTGCTGCAATTAAATGTAATTTAATTTGTAATTCTGAAAGCGTGCTTCCTCTACAGGCAGCCTTTGAGTTTTCCTTATGAAATGCATTGTTGTGATGTATGGATTTTCCTGACTTATTATGGCATTTTAATCAACAGTTCAATGATGTGATAATATTCCTAAAGCAGAAAAATAAGTGACGTTTGTTTAGACATAATTAATTAAATATTTATGTTGCATGAGGCTGTGTGATAAAGCCTTGTTCTCGTAGTCCATTTGCTTCTGATTACATTTGTGATTTTTTTCTATGACCAGACATTCTGACGCCAACTATTTTACACTGAGCAGATGTCATGTAGTAAAAATGGGTGCCAGATGCTACAAGCCACATAAGGGTAATTTGTTTAAGAGCTGGCTCAGACTTTTTGCATTCAATTACACTGTATAGCGAACCTTACACAATCATTTGGGTAATATGGCTAACTTCAGATATGCATTTTAATGAATGTTGAATGCATTCAGAACAGCATGCTACGTGGAGAGGGCTCAAGGAATTAATTTGTTTGTCTACAAAAAAAAAACCTAAAAAAAAAAAAAAAGAAAAAAGATATACCAGGCAGGGTTTTTGACAGTGACCAAAATCCAATTAATGCAGTGAGCCAAATTTCCAAATTGCTCTGGGTGCTGCTGATTAGGACCTGGGGCAGGTGCAAAGTGTCTGTATATGTTAAAGAATGGTATTTTTTGCCTCTTTAATGGCTTTGTTCCCTCTACTTAGGATGTGAACTTCCACCTGTCAGGAAACAGACTGCGGAGTATTTTACTTCTTCCTCTGATGAAGATGAATTTGAATTCAAGCGTTCATTAACATATAAGGTAACCTTTTCTTTGAAGCAAAAATACATTTCCTCAGTTGGACTATATTTAAGATTCATATGACTTTGTTCTAAAGCACTCCACGATTTCTTTAAATGGGAATTGGAACATTTTATCGCCGAGGGTAACATGCCATGGATGTAAAATACACTAAAACTGTGACAGATGAACATGAAAATTTTTCTCCTCCTTGAATCTGTAATTCCCCCAGGTTACACTAGTGTTGATGGAGAAGGTCTTAATTGGACAAACAGACATGTTTAACTGAAACCACTTTGAAGCAGTATTCATAAGTGGCTTTAATATGTAGCCCGACAAGCAAACCATTGAAAAAATTAAACCAAACAGATGCAGATTTCCCGTGGGGAAATACAACTTCATTTGTGAGGCAGTACAGGCAGATTGCATGAAAAACATTGTGTTTACTTTAATCAGCATGGCTACATGAGCTGGAAAGTCACACCCAGACCACATACATGGAAAGGATGTGCTGTACACTGGCATCTCCCAGCCCTAACACAGCTCATGTGTCTTTCTGGAGCAATGGATTTAGATCACCAGTGAACTCTTGATACCCAACTCTGACCTGAAGAAGCAGCTTTTATTGCCTGACTAGCTCATCAGATAAACATCAAACTTTTTTTTCTGCAGAGAGAATATAAGTAAGTGGAAGTTATAGTTTAAGGTGGCCCTTTCATTTGTTGCCTTTCGAGGGCAAAAGGAGAGGATCGGCTCTGGAGGAAGCAATGCAAAGCAAAGTGCAACAGTGCTTGGCTGCATATCCCACCTGTGATGCTGGATAAGGATGCACTGAGATTGCAGAAACCCTCTGAAGCAGAGCAGATTTTGGAAAAGTTATCAACAAATGTAACCAAATGTAAACAAACGCAACCAGCGTTTAAAGTTTCTGTTATCCTAGAGCACCTTCAGTTCATTTTTAAGAGAAGACATTCAGATATGAAATATTTCATGGCACATAAGCATTTTCAGTTCTCTTCCTCGTACCACTGTTGCCCACTCTACCCACAGTTTGTCTGGCACTGTGAGGCAGCATGGAAGTCCCCCAACTCACTTTGTCTCTCTAAGTTACCTCCAAGTACCTCTGTTTAGCCAGTGCCACTGTTTTTCACTGATAAAACTTTGTGAAAAAAATGCTAGTGGCTTCCTGGCCTGTTAGTTTTTCAGCAGTCTTGTCTACTGTGCCCATACATCCTGTCTCCTCCTGAGTGAGAAAACCACAGCCTTGAAGCATTTCCAGAGAACTTAGACCAAGAGCAAGGTGAAGCATTTCCCCAGCAGCCTTGCAGTGCGTGCTCTCTTCAATTGCACTGCACAGGTGTGAGTTACAATCAAACCAGCTAGATTTTGCAAGACCTGTTTCTACATGTAACACTCACTGGAACCATCAGAGACAGCATTCACACCTCAGACTGAATTTTCTACTCCAGCAGTGGGGTTGAGTTTCCTTATTCCAGTGCTTCTCACTGCCTGTGCCTGGCTTCTCCCTCAGGTACGTAGTGTCTGCACATGCCATAGGCAGTGCTGCTTTGTGTACAGTCCTCCCTATCATTTGAACCTTTCTATTGGTAAAGACACTTCATGCTTAGTGTTGCAGAGGGCTCTGTAAAGTTTCAAAGCTCATATAGGGAAGTGCTTGAAGATATTCCCTACACCAGTATTTTCATTTCAGTGAGGTTGCCCAAGCAACTTGCAGTGTCTTACTTTGCTCTGTGCAGGGCAGTTGGATTAGACGATCTCCAGAGAGCTCTCTGAGTCTTAGTGATACTGTGATTCTGGGAAGGGCTTGTGGAAGCATTTGGTGGCATACTTGTACTTTGATTGTTTGTTGTTGTGTTGGTGTTGTTTTTTTCCCTTTTATAGGCTAAAAGATCTCTTAGAAGGAGAAGAAAACTGGAGAAGGAGACAAAACAATTGATTAAACAAGAGGAGCTGAAGAGACTTCATAAAGCACAGGTGACAGTGTTGCTCACAAATGGACATTTTTCTCCCAGGAGTGCTTGGCGAGGACAGGGGTGGAAAATATCTCCTCTGCACCCTTGCTCTTCACTGGAGCCCACTGACTACCACACTGAAATCCACCCAAAGTATCAGGTGCAGTAAGATTCATGTGGCAGGGCCTCACACCTCTGTGTGACAAGTCCAAGTGTGCCCCAGCAGATTGTCACAGCTTTGTAAGTATGCATAAGTGCATGAAAAGGAGCAGTAGTGACTGACAATAGCAGTAGAACACATTGATTTTTAAGGACAGAGAGAGAAAAAGGAAATGTCAGCCCCTGAGAAAGCAAGAAGCTCAGCTATCATCCTGGCACACTACCAGGACTCTGGTAAAATAGAGCGAGGGATTTTGTACTCTCTGCCTTAGAGGTGAAAGTGAACCTTTTAATTTATTAACTGATTTTTTTAAATGCTGATGCTAGGTCAGTTCAGTTTATTCAGACCCTGAAAAACAATCGTGTTTGTTGAAGTCAGAGTTCTACATCATCCTCTGTTGTATTACAATAACAAGTGGATGATTTTGGATGGATCCATGTCTCTAACCTAAAGAAAAGAACAATTATGTTATCCTTTTTATTTTGACAGATGTAAATGATCCCGAAGTAATATTATTTCCTCTCACTGCTTTATGAAGTAATCAAGTCCAAACATTTTGAACTGTCTTTTTTGTTTGCTAGGCTGTTCTGAGGGCTGGGTTTGGTATGCCCCAACACAGCCTGAAGTGGAAACTTCAGTCTTATAAAGGTGCTTTGTGTCCATTATCCATTAGGCACCTCTGAAAATACCCACAGTATACTGGGGTTCTTTTAGTATCTGAGATACTTATCTAGCCACATTTTGGTGCAGGTGGTGGAATTGTTAAATTGCTTAGGCACCAAACACACATAATGACTTGCATATCCCGTGACTCCTCAGAAGTCTCTTCAAACTGTTTCTCTAACCACTGAAGCTACCTTTTGTCTCTCAATTCTTAAGCCATGTCTGCAAATTTTCTATCTTTTCAATTTTGCAGGCAATCCAGCGCCAACTAGAAGAACTGGAGGAAAGACAGAGAGCACTGGAAGTTTTTGGTGTTCAGTTGGAGAGAGAACTCAGAGGAGAATCCGGTAAATGAAGGAATGTTCGTTCTTGATAGTTTTGGGTTTTGGTTGTTTTCTCTGTTGTTTTTTGGTTTGTTTGTTTTAAGAAGAGAGTTTTTATTTTTGTCATAGAATTCAGTACAAAATTTTAAATGAAATATGGAAGGAGAGAAATCCTTGTTTACCCCTTTCCTCAAATTCTGTTAGCTCAAGCACCCTTTAGCTGACCATTGTAACATTCTTTTGATTATATATAGATATATATATGATATAGCAACAGCAGCCTGCAGTCCCACCACTCCAAATAGGTGAAAGATAATAGGAGCATCATCCTGCATGACGCTTTCACTTGCCTGAACCAACAGTGCCAAGTGTCCTGAAACATGGTGCTCTCCCAGTGCTCCCCAGCACTGGCAGGGTGAAGCCGGGGAAGCCTTCTGCAGCAGGGTGGGACAGGACAAAAGGGGATGAAGGAAAGATCTGTGTGTGTAAGTGGCTTCAGGGGAGCCTTTATTTCTGTGCCAAAAGGGTTCTGGGGAGCAAACAGCCCAATTGAAAGCATCTGTTTATCTTTGTTTTAGAAAGGTGAACCTCAAGCTTTTGGGGCATGCAGTTACGCAGCACTGGATATGTTTTGACACCTGACCTTGTCATCTTAGTTAGGAAACCTAGCAAAATCTCTACACACCAGATGTTTTAATGCCATATTTCTTAGCAGTTATTGCCCTTATTCTAACACCAAACTGTCCAGTTTAACAAGAGTATTTTATGTTTACTAGCAACTTTCCTATAACTGATAGTTCTTATTTATTTAAATGTTATTTAAAAGGCTAGAAACCATTTCTTTTTCTTAAACAAAAACACTACAATTTATCAAATAGCACCCAATGTTTCTCATCTGTGAGAAACATTCCTAAGACTGTGAGGACTGCTATATTAGCTTTGTTCCTTACTACTGATTTCAATGAGAGTGGCTGGCTTGGAAGCTATCAAAAATATGAGGAACAAGAGATTTCTAGCTCTTGGGATAGATGCAGAGTACTGGGATGGATGGCCTAGAGCTACCTCTTGTTTTGCTGTTTTGACAATCGCATTTCCTAAAGAAGGCTATCTGCCAAGAGATCGATGCTTCTCATTCTCTTCCCATCCTCAGTAATTGGATTGCCCTCATTAAGGTGAAAGTAGCATTTTTTCTCCCTGTTGATTGTTTGCGTGTAGGTGGCCAGTTACAAATAGGGCAGATACTGAAACGTAGGATGTTACTGTCTCTCAATAGCTCTTCTGGTGCAGAAGCATGGAGCTGTAAGTTTCCCAAACAAAAAGTAAGTGCTTTGTCACTTGAATCATATGTGTAAGGATGCAGGAATCAGTGAGTTCAGTGTTCCATTCGACCTTCTTAAAAATAATGGGCATTATTGTTTAATGAATGACCAGTGTTTATTAGGTTAAGTTGTATTTAAGCAGGTCTGTGCTTATGTAATTCAAGTGGTTTAATAGGTATTATTAAGGTGATTAGAAAACAATCATGGTTCAGCAATAATATTGAGCTGGAAAGGTTGTGAATAACCAAATTTAGAGACAGGCCTGCAAACACTGGTCTTCAGTGACATTTACGCAGCTCTCCTTTAATAATTCCGTAGGCAGAGGATGAATGGCCCCTTTGTTAGCTGGGGTTATTCATTAGCTCCTCAGCTGAATTAGAAGAGAACATGCGTGGGTGTGAAACAACTGCCATGAAGACTGATGAGCAAAATAAGGCTTTCATGATCTTCTAATTGTAGTGACAATCCATGCTTTTTTTTTTTTTTTTTAAAGAGAGAAAGAATATCAATCCTATGAGTATTTTTTCATGGCCCTTATTCCCTTTATTCTGATTCTAAATACCGGATAATAAATAATTAATGTATCACTGCTTTGTTTTCCACTGACATTTGTGGAGGCTTATAGAGATCTTTTGCCTACAAGAAAATACAGAAATAAAAATCCCCAAGCACGTTTTCCACTGAAATTAGCATAACCAATCAATTGACTAAAAAATGAGGAATTCATGAGGAATGGTGGTAAAGAAGAAAATCTGTGTAGACAGAACATGGAAAAAAAAAAAATCCAGCTCTGATTTGGAATGTGAGCAAACATCTGCACGTGTGGACCATTTTTGATTTCATAAGCATCTATCCAAGGTTCCTCAGAACTTCCAACAAAGTCAAAAGAAATCAGCTGAAAACCTCTGTGATAAAGGAATATGATGTTTAGAAGTTCTTAGGGAGGAGCAACTTGCAGGTCCCCTCTGTGTGTAACACAGAGACAACAGAGCATTGCTTTGTGGATAAAGGGTTGATGGTAAAAGGCAGCCACAACCTACTCTCAAAAGCAATGAATGCTGAAATAGCTATGATGTAATGAGAAGAATATCCAGTTTTCAAATGGGATCAAATGGGTTACAATAGATTCGGGCAAACCAGAAGTAAAATTTTGCTTTAGCAATGCTATAACAAAAAGCCATCATGGCTAACAAAACAAATTCTCTAACCTTTAAAAAAAAGATCTGTCTTGCTACCTTGTGTTGAACCTGTAAGAAGCTACCATTAACACGTCCCAACAAGAACTGCTCTGGCAGTCACTCTAAGAAATTTTTATCATCGTTTGCTGACCTGAAAGACCCAGTAGAAACACATCCTTTGCTGCCAGTTTTTTATGGAGTTGGGCAGGGATTAGGCCAACTTTTCACTTTCCTGTTGCTTTATCCTCTTGTTTCATGGTAACTTCAGACTGGGGTCAAATCCCAGTGTGAAATCACCAAACACTGTGCAAGCTGGCACGACTCCTGATCTTGGCACAGGGGCCCACGCACTTGTGATGCTCACACAAGGTGACCCAGGCCCTCTGAGATGACAGCGCCTGCCTGTAGTTCTTCATCAGCACAGGGGTCATGTAGAAAGGTGGCTGGGTGCTTCTGTTTTGTGGGGGAAAAAAGGGTGAAAAACAGGAAGTGAGGAGCATGTTAAAAAGAACCTCAAGAAAAATAACTAAGATAAATAAAACAAATTCCTCTCGAAAGGTGAATAGCCTCAGCTTGATTAGGAGTGTCATTGGACTTAGATATTCTCTTGACAGGCTTGACTGAGGAATACTGCTGGTAAAATCAGCTTACCTGCTCATTTGCAGATAGGTTTGCAAAGGAAAAGGAGAGCAATGTTTAAGCAGGAATCCATTTCTGATTAACACAGGTAGGGAAGTTACTTACCGTCTCCTCTCATCATTATATCCTGCTAATGCAGCAAATGCTCACTCCAAGAAGATTGGATGAATATGAAGGTGGATGTCTGGGGAGGGCCATACGAAAGGGCACATGCCCTGCCCCACACTCTGACCTGCCACTGGAGAACTCCAGGGGTTCTTCCTTGCCAAAGATTTTTTACAGGCTACGTTTTAGAGCAGTAAAGGCTCTTAAGTGGTAGAGGAGGAATCTGTGCTGCCCTTTAGTGAAATGGCCTCAGTCCGTGCACTCTCTGGGAGATAAACATCTCTTCTTACATGTATGCACAGCGTCAACCAGTAATGACTTAACTCCAATTGTTACAAAACCACCCCAGAGTAATAGATTTTTCTGGTGCCACAGTCCTTCCTGACAATTGAAGCAAATGCAGATTTAGAGGCCTGTTGGCAAATGAATGAAAATATGTAGGGAACCTGATGGTGCTTGTGCTGCCCACTGGAAACAGGGACTCGGGTGATACATGCCAGCAAATTCATCTTAATCTGATCATGTTATCGGATATCTATCTATATAGACAGATCCAAAGTCTGCTATTAACCAAGAAGGCAGAATTATCAAAGGCAGAACTAAAAGAAAGCGAGTGACCATTTGGGGGGAGAAAAAAGAAAAATCCATTGAAAGGAAAAACTTGATTTCCAAACAAACAATGTTTGTAAATCTAACGCATCTTTAATTGCAATAAACTACAGCACTCAAACGACCATAAACAGGTGTATTATATATGTAATGTCTGGACATTACCTCTGTAAATTGCATAGAGAAGAAAAATAAATCTGCTTTGGGGCTCATCTAGCCTTACCAATGAGGATTACTGAAAGTGACCTCAAGTGGCAAGAGCATTGGAAGGAAGCCCAGTAATGCATATTCAGATTTGCTATTTTCAACAGTTTCAGGCACACAGGATGAAACTCAGTTGCTTCATGAATGGTTTGAACTGGTCCTGGAGAAGAATAAATTAATGCGTTACGAGTCTGAGCTCTTGATTGTGTAAGTAAGAATGAACACTAATGCAAAAGATGCGGAGGGGAGACAGAAACTTGTACTCATAGGACATCTGAACATGTTGCTGTGAGATGGAGTTTTGAACTGTCATGGAATGAACATACTTAGAGTACAGGCTGTTGTGAATGCAGACCTCCAGTTGAGCCCTCCTCATTGTTTCCATCTCACAGTGCTTCAATTTATTTCATTCCTATAGGATACTCAAAAAAGCTACAGCACACATGTTCTGTCTTTATGCAACATGGGTCTAATGAACACTTGGGCATTTTCTCTTGTATAAGAAAAATAGTCTGACAAGTGTATCTCACAAGAGAAAAAAATCAAAGAATTCAGTACTGAGATGAAACAAGTACATACACCAAGCCAATAAAAGCTGCCTCGTGCTGCTGTTTGTAGTTGCTGGAAACAATGTTGGCTGTAGCTGCTTCATGTCTCATCCTCTGCAGCGTGCTCAGCAGATAGCTGTAGGTGGCTCCCAGATATTTTCTCCACTATCTCTGGATGATGCAGGAAGGCATTTAGAGTTGCAGTAGTCATTATTCATTCTGGCTGGACTCTGTGGGAGGGCTCAAGGTTGTCAAGGTTGTCCAGAATGATTATATGAGTACAACCAAAAAGCTTTGACATAGCTGGTCAAAGCCCTGAGTGCTGCACTGTAAGAAGGAGCTTAATCCAATGCATAAAGCAAAAGGTGGTAATAGTACTTCTGTCATTGTTGTGCACAGGCAATAGTTTTAGCCTTGACTGCCCTTGAGGAGAAAATACTGAATAAACAGAATACGTGAAATCTTGATTGAAATAATACTTGTATTTGTATGACTTTATTTATTTATTTCTATTATTTTATGTATATTTTATTGTACCCAGAGCCCAAGAATTAGAATTGGAGGACCATCAAAGCAGATTGGAACAAAAACTGAGAGAGAAGATGGCCATTGATGGTAAGTGAAAGTGGGGAACGTGCTATTCTACATTCATAGACATGCCCATTTGAGTACCCACTTGCTTTGAGAAGCAGAGAGGATTATACTTTTCCTTCTGTGCTCTTCTGCAAGGTTATATCAGCTACAGGGCTGCAGGTTACCATTGTATTTTGGAACTGCTTTTTTGTACTTGGGTCTACAGTTTGCATTTGTCCTTTCATTCAGCATTAGAAGAGTGTGGGGATGATGAATAGAGGCAGACGGGTAAATACATGGCACTGAATACACCAAAATATCCTGCTGGTTCTAAGCATGTGGGCTATGAGTGACTACACTTTTCAGCATTTTTTTCTGAAAAACAGTTTATTTTCTTACAGATTCTGCATTTTGTGACTGGGCATTTTGAATTTGATAAACTAATCTTGAAGTCCAGCACAAATGCTGTTACGTTAGATTTCACACCCTAGTGACAGTAACTGCTACCTACCATACAGCACTGACTACTGATTTCACAGCCTAAGTTTTGCTAAAAGTTCTACTGTACACTTTGGGGGCTTCAATGGTCAACTTCTAATGGCCTCAATGCAGGATAAATTTTCCCTGGACTGTAACGTGAAAAATATTAATCGCTATTGACTTCATTTTAGTGTCATATTTAATCCAAGTACAACAGCTGTTAAAATGCAAATTATGGCAACAAAATGATCTGGATTATGACCTCTTGTTTTGTGCTCTTTCAGATAGCCTTAAAAATGAGATGGATCTAAATGAGGAAGATGAAATTTTTATTGAGATGATGAAAGTGGTTGAAGAAAGGGACAAACTCGTGTCTGCCTTAGAGGAGCAGAGAGTGAAAGAACAAGCAGAAGACCAGTGCTTTGAAAGCATTCTATTATCAAGGGGCTGTCAGCTGAGTGGCATTTAAACTGCCATATGCAAACAAATGTCATTCCAGCAATATTTGTAATCATGGAGGTACTGTCTTCTGAAATTTAAGGTAATTCAAATTAGAAGTCAGTTTATTTGAATAAGGTCATCCCGTTATCAGGAGCTTTTAAACAACTCCTGTGCTCACACTGATGTGAATCACTTCACTGTCAGCATCAAGAATCAAAAGAATAAAGATGGAATGGATTTACCTGAGAGACGCCGCAGCCTGTGAAAGGGAAATTGGCACTCCAGTGTTTCCTTGGAATGTTATTTTACTGCTGAAAATAGAGTTATTAAGAAAAAGGATGATATCATATAGTATTTTTGAGATGGCATTATTTTCTGTCTGCTCGTCTGACTCTTTATGTGGTTTTGCTTATATTTTGGCACAGCGAAGCCATGATGAACTATTTAAAGGTCAAAAGCAAGCATCTCATATAGAAATAAGGTTAGTTCTTTTTTTTTTTCTGGTAGAAAAGTCTTTTGACTGATAACTATGCGTAAGCACTCATTAAAGCCATTGTAAATACAAGGTCAGATATGAATTTCCTAGGTATTCTTATGTTTTAGAGCACCGTGTGTTTTTGAACAAGCTGTTAAATATCTCCACGTTCTGTAAAATGGTAAGGGGTCATCAAATGGGTAACTCCACTAAGTCTGTTAGGTACTCAGAATAGCTTTTGTCTGTCACTGATTAAGGTCTTCTCTAAAGCATGCTGAATGATAATTATAAAATACTTCTCCACCCCTGCTTCAAAGGATATATCATAAGAAGTATCATGAGGGTGTAGCAGCTGACAGATCTCCCTTAGAGTAATTCCTCAGAAGGGCTGCAAAAATTATTGAGTTTTGCAATAGCAATGTTTGATAGATAATGTTGTGATTACATTTACATTACATTTATATTGCTGCTCAAGAAATGTATATGTAGATCTTTTGCTTAAAGGAAGTGCCTGCTATCTTTTTTTTTCTTTCTGTAGTCATGGCATAGCAGATGTGCAGAAATTCTTGTTGATATTCAGGATAGCTTCACGTACTTTCTTAAATCTGCAATTTTGCAATATAAGATTGGTAAGATTTCAGACTTGTACATACGATGCACTTATTTTCAAACTGAAAAACCAAGGAGACCAAAAGGCTGTTTCTTCTTGAACATCATTTTACCTCACACTTTGACTCGGAAGATTTTGATGTTCTCATTATTTCATGACTGGTGCTTACTTGCAAGAGTTGTCTTTGTACAGCCAAAGCTACAAGCATTCTTGTTATGAGACAATTAAGCTAAATAACCTCTTGGTAACTAGCTGTAGGGTAACAGATACAGTGGATCTTAGTACGATAATTTATGAGTTATCTTCAGTTTTTGCTGTATTGTAAGAAATCTAAAATATCCTTTTTAAAATTAAAAAAAAAAAAAAGTTTTCACTGTTGACCACAAATACATAGAATACCTCTTTGCTGCAAGAACTACACTACTGTTATGCAATATTTATTTATTTATACTTATTTATTAGTCTCTGTAAGGAGGATAAGAGTGTCATGTTATATTTTACAGTTCAGACGTTGTCTCCAATTTTCATAAATAAGTTTATTTCTAACAGTTATTTATAGCTAAAGGTCTGCAGGGTAAACTAGGTAGCTGTATCAATTTGGTAATTATTAGTAATAAGGTATAAATTAAGATTAAAAAAAAATAATAATATCTCTGTGGGATACCCTTACAACATAACACGTAGAGCTTTAACAGGATAATTTCTTTTTCACTTTGGTGGAAAGACATAGCAGGATCCCTGAATTTATTCCAAAAATACCATTGGTCATTTTTTTCTGTCATTCATATGCTGAGCACACCTTGATCTTCAAGTTACATTTTCATTGAGATGGACTGCAGTGATTTATTTTACCACTCTATTATTTTAGATTGACACAAAGTAGAAACAAGCAGAGCAGTAATAAATATGTTCATTTTCTCTGTTGAAAACTCCTGGCATTCCCAGTTTTGTGGAGAAAATGTATGGATTTTATCACTGTTCCCCAAAGCCTCATGTAGTCCAGTAGAGTGATACTGTCTAGATCATCTGTCATTGTTTGCTGTAGAAAACAGAGTTGTAATATTTTCAGTGGATTATTATTTTTTTACAAGTTTTACAGCAAACTTATTGTCTTAATGCTTTGCACAGTAAAGGCAGTTCCGCACAGACGCCCTTGGTTACATCAATCAGTGATTATTTATTCGTCTAATTTGTACTAAAAGCCTGTTCATCCTCCTTCGTACAAGGAAGAGGAGGAGGAAGGGCAGCCCCAGAATAATGTGAAGCAAATCTTCTGCCAAAGACCGACCTGCTTACCCAGGGCAGCAGCCTGGGCTCAGGTCACTCTGTGGTGCAGACAGGCTCCGAGACTTCACCTTACAGCAGATACTTGTTTTTGACTTGGTCATTGAGAGCCAAGAGATTAGAGGCAGCAGAAGTTGAGAGCCATCAGCATGTAATGGACTGTACAGATATTCATTGCTGAAATTATACTTTTGTGCGTGCCATGAAGTGATAACACACTCCATCCACAACCACTGGTCCCACATGTCTTGGGTGGAAAAACCTGGCAGGCCACTGCTACCCTTACTGATACTAGAGTGCCTCTCAAGATTAGATCCAAAAACAAACTAGGCAGGCAAAGCAGGAAAAGAATAAATTCTTGAGCAATTTAAAGCGAAGTCTTTGTATTGTGTGAATAGAGGAGGCAGAAGAAATAAGCTATGTGCTCTGTTTGCAAGTCAATTTAATATGGCTGGCATGTATTACAAATCTGTTTAAACATGTTTTGTTATGAGTGTTCTTACTGCTTGGTCTTTTCTGTAAATTGACTCATTAACTGGATTTGTTGGGGTATTTTTTTTCTTTTTTTTTTTTTTGTTTTTTTTTTTCAGTCCTTGGCACTATTGTTGTTGGGTATAATGTGATGTGCTGGAATGTATTGCCATGTCTAAGTGGACTGGATGTGAGCAATTTTGTATTTGAATAAATAAAATTGTATCTCATTCTCTGAAGTGCTTGTGAGTCATTTCCATAGTAATTTCTCTCCTCTGGTACCTACAGTATAATAATGTATCTCTAGGACAAATCAGTGGGTAAGAAATTGTATCAGTTTCTTAATCATATACTGGGAAGTAAATTACCCTGTCTTGCAGTTCACATTGCATTTTGTAGTTGTTTAGAAATAATGACACCCTGAAGCTGGATGGTATTCAACTCTACTTCTAATACACAAGGTTGTGAAATCTGTGAGGTAACAACTTTATTACACAGGAATTCACAACCTAATTTCCTTGGACACGACATACAAACTGTAACAGCTCCCAGAAGACTTGATGGAAAAGTGTCCGTGTGGATCACTAAGAATTGGTGATCAAAACCTTAAGTGCCAATTTTCAAATTCCCATCACTTTCCTTATAGTAGGTAATCTCATTTTGTTGCTTTTTACCAGTGGGGAAGCCTTTCAGAGCAAGACAGTGATAAGAGAAAAGATGAGAGAAGCAAGACTGGAGCTTATGTTAGCATCTGCACTGCCGTTCCCGCCTCAGTGGCTTTAAACTGCTCGATAGTTCCTTCTCTTCAGATGGCAGATGGACAACAGCAGCTTCCCTTTGAGGTCAAGGTAATTTCTGGTACACTTGAACTGAGCTTTATCTTCTACTGTTTCCATTTTGTATGCCTGAGAGACAGGCGTGGTGCTCACAATATCTCAGGACTGCACAGGAATTACCTGCCTGCTGGGTTCATTGCAAATAATACATCAAGCTTTTATCTGTTTTTAACACCTCTCAGGGAGCAGGTGACCACAGTGAGGGTTTGGCTGTCCCAGAGCACAGTGGGGAGGAATGCCACCAAAAAATTTACTGAGGCTCCCCTCCTATTTGCTCCTTCTATCTTCAAAAGATTCTGTGTGCAAAAAAAAAAAAAAAAAAAAAAAAAAGCCAATTGGGCAAGGATTTCAGGGAATGGATTTTGTAAGCTATTATTTGCCTCAAGATCAATCTGTTTGCACTCAAGGTAAAGGAATGCCTTACTGGTTTTTATACTGTTTGGCTAGGTTTCTCTGGGCACAGGCAGTGAACTTGGACTTATTCCTTGAAACTGCTTTTTAGCCTAAGGCATACGTGATTTCCACTAAGAATTTCACTTTTGTTTGGCACTTTCTTTTCAGGAAGATATACTCCATTTTCTTCCTCGTGTAAGCACATACCAGAATGTGCCCTAGCAGGTTGGAGGTCATGTGTATCTTACAAAGTTTTGCTGTTGTTAAGGCCTAAAACTGTCTTTGCTGAGTTCCGCATGGGCCGTATGGTTATTCGCAGAGTCCAGCACAATGGATTTACCATGGCAGCATGTGAAAACAATCCCCACAATCTTCATGGCAGCCATACCTCATGAACCTGGCAAATACCTTGTGATATGGAAAGTGCAAACTGGATTTCACCTAAATCATTATGCCCCTAACATCTGTGAACAAACCACGGGGTTCTTTTCAGATAGTTTCTTCTGCTGTTTCCAGTGAAACACTGAAAGAAGTGTAGTGGCCCTGCGTGCCAGCAATGTGCTTGCTGGAATGCTGATGTAACAGATGCACAAAATCATGGGCTCAAGTGAAAGGCACAAGTGATGCTTATTAAGAAAGATTCCTGATGTTGACTTTTCCTAAAACAGTCTCAACATGGTCAGATGCAAATGCATCTACATTTGGCCATGCACTCACAGATGACAAATTGACTGAACTACATGTGGCCAGAAGCATCAAGTACCAGAACAATATTTGCATCAGAGTGACGTTTCTCTTTGAAACTTCTAAAATATTTAATGTCTGTAGCTGTATACAATACATAATCTTTTGTTAGATTTCTAAACAGCCTCTTTTACTGTGCTTTTGAATATTACTGGGTGGGGAGGTATGGGGGAGGGCACGTTCAGTAGCTAACTATGCAGAACTGGCAGTCAGATGGCTGAGGGCAAATGTGTGGAGAAATGACAAGGGTAAACTTGGGTCTAGTTCTGTTCCTCATGAAGTCAGCGAGAAGATCTGCTGTAAGCAGTTACTGCAATAACAGTAGGTCACTGGAGTAGTTCTGAAAATTTGTCTTCCACGGTTTAAGTGACCAATCTGATAAAAAGGCTCATGCAAAGGTACACTTAGAGACAAACACTGAACTTAAAGACAAAGGAATAATTTATTGTATGGCCTTAATCAGTTTGGCTTTAAGCCTGCGTGTTTAAAATAATAATAATAATAAGCAAGAGTACTTTGAAAAACTAGATAGAACATCAGAGCTGACCTCTATCCCGGGAGTCAGCCATCTCAGATGGTAAGTATATGGCATCCTTTCAGCTGCTGCAGTGCTCCTTCTCGATAGCCTACCCCACAGTGGGTATATTATGTATTATATCTCTTCTACCTCAATCAGAAGCAAGAGTCTGTTCTCAATCATTCTGAGTCCTGTAGTAAAAGAAATAAAAATAAAAAAAAACAGGTGTGCATGGATGGATATGCAGGTGAATAAAAATGCATTTGAAGTGTGGTGATGTAACCACCCTTTATTACCTGGCAATAGCATATATATGATAAGGCTACAATTAATTTGAGTCGGCTCACCAGTTTGAACAAGGTGCTGACAGGGAGCATGGTGAGAGCCCTCGTGGTTTGCTCCAGGTTTCTCTGTGCCAGATGTAGTGGGGCAGCCCAAATGGCAGCCTGCTGCTGTTGTGTCCTGTGGGTGGGATCAGGGAGCATGATTGTGAAAGCATTCACTTATCAAATCTGAAGCAGAGCAAAAGCCAAGCCAAATGAAAATCCACAGCAAGTTCATATCACCGCAGCTTTGCTTTGTGGTTAAAATACTACTTGCATATGAACTCAGCATTTCAAAGCCGCATTCCCATGTCTGCCATAAGCTAGGCCTTATGCATGTCTATAAGATCCTTTCAGCCGAATGCAGTATTAATTTAAAGTCATACTTCTCTATATGTTCCCAGATCAAAAAAGAAAAAAAAGGGAAAAAAAAAAAAAAAAAAAAAAAAAAAAAAAGAAAGTAGCATATCTAGTTCTGACTTTAGGGTACAGAAAAAAAAATGAATGTTGTAACTGTACTCAAAAAGAATCATCATAAATGGAAAAACTTTTCAAAACAACCTGCAGACAACAGTCCAGGGAACACGAGTGTTGCTTTGAGCCAGAGAGCAAACCCCAGGACGAGCGGAGCAGTGGTGGCAGCCTGGGCTCGTTACGCTTTTAACTGATGGCAGTTGGATGAATAAAGCTTTTCCCCAGGGCATATACTAACTGCACACAACAAATACTCATTGATGTCAGCTAACCGATGCCACCAGCTTGTGAAAACACAACGATTATTAGCTGATTTAGAAATATCCTCGCGGTAATTTCATTTCACTTATTACGCCTAATGGATAGCTAGGTATTTGCATGAAGCGTGTGTGGCTTTTTGCCTGAATTGTTAATCGAGCGATTAAGTGGGGAGTGAAAGCGGTGCCTCCAGCTTGACACACCGCTGCCCCGGGTGCCTCCCGCACCAGCTCCCGAGCCGCAGCACATCAGCTGCTTCAAAGAGGCTTCTCTCTTAGGCTACTCATCTGCAAATCAAAGGAGGATTAGTACGGGCTAAGTCACCTTTCTTCGCCCCCGTTTTCTATAGCGGTTGTATTTTTTCTGTTGAAACAGACATCGCCATGCCCGCCTCCCTCACACTCCCTCACACGGCGGCTCTGGCGGTAACCCACGGGCTGCTTAGCAAAGCGTGCTCCAGGGAGACGCGTGCATGCCTGCAGCCTGCACGAGGCTATCGAGCGGCACCGTCACTTGGGCAGCTGATCAGAGTGCAGAAACACCTGCCTGCAGCGCCCACCCCTCCAGAGCCGCCACGTGCGAGCAGCTACCGACGAGTTCCCACGACTCCGACCGAGCGGCCCTCAACTCCGGCGGTCGGCGCCCTGCCGCTCCGCCCCGAGGCCCAGCCCCGCTCGGGCTGCCGGGCTGCGCCCTTCCCGTGCCAAAGCTGCGCCTCCACCCGCACCCGAGTTGCGGTGCGGCGAGGCTTTTCGCCGAGCGGGTCGGCCCTCGCCGGAGCCCGAGGTGAGCCGAGCCGCAGGAAGGCGCGAGCGGTGGCGGGGCGGGAAGGCCGTCCCCCGGCGGGACAGGTGAGGGCGGAGGGGCGCAGCCGCCGGCGGAGGCGCGTGGCGAAGGGCGGGCGGGAGGCAGGGCAGGAGCGGGAGAGCGGAGCGGAGCTGCCTCAAATGCCTGGAATAATTCCGCTTCCGTTCAGAGCCGGGAGCGGCCTCCCACGGCTCCGGGGCCTCGCAGCCGCCTCCTCCATCCCCGAGCGCCGGCCCGGCCGCCATGGCATCGTCCCCCCAGAAGTCCCCTTCTTCCCCCAAATCTCCCACCCCGAAATCGCCCCCGTCCAGAAAAAAGGATGACTCCTTCCTGGGCAAGCTCGGCGGCACGCTGGCGAGGAGGAAAAAAGCCAAAGAAGGTAAGAATCGCGGGTCCGCGCGTTTCCTGGGAGTTACCTCGGGACGGGGAGGGGGGTGGGAGGAGACAGGGGGAGAGGAAAGGCTCGGGGGAGCGGAGGAAGGGGCTGACGGGCGGACGCGGGTGGGGTGGGCAGGCGAGCGGCGAAGGGAGGAGCGCCGCGTCGCCCCGGGGAGCCGCTGGGGCCGGGCGGGGAGCGCCGCTCGCGGTGGCGGCGCGGGGACGCGGAGCGCGGGCCGGGAGACGCGGAGCCGCTGCTGCCGTGGGGCCGGGCCGTGCGGATCGGCCGAGAGAGCCGGGCGGCTCCGAGTTCGTCCCGCGGGCCGGGGAGGGCCGGGCGGGGCGGCCGTAGGGCCGCGCGCAAGAGCGGGCCGTATCCCCGCGGCCGTCCGGATGGCGGGCGGGGCGGGGCGGGGTTCGGCCCGCTGCTCTGCTTGCGTCTGAGGCTGTGGTGCGAGCAGCGTGCGGATTGCTGTGCGCGCTGTCCGTTGGTGTGTGTTGGAGTGCGGCCCGCCGTGGGCACGGCGCTGTGGGAAAGCAGGGTGACGCACACAGCTTGCAGCAGCGCTCCGAGGCTGGACCTGCTCGTTCTGTGTCCGGCTGGGAGCCTTTGCCTGCAGTGGAGCTCGAAAAACGCTGAGCCGACGGTCGGTTTCTTTGTCCGTATATGAATTAATACCACCCTCTGCTGCATCTGCCGATTTAGAATCCCATGAGGCAGAGAACTGGAATTTAGCCTTACTCACCCATCGTTTTTGTTGCTGATTTTAATTTGAACTCGATACCAAGGTAGCAGTCACTTCAAAACTGTTTTTGAAGCCTGCAAGCTCTTTGCTTGCAAGGGAGAGAGACGTTCCGCTCAGCAGACCCTGCTTCTGAAGTACACAGCTGGGTAGTGAAGCAGCACGGCATTTCAAAGAGGCACCTGTCAAGTGCCTCTCCGCCAAAGCTCTGGGGCAGTACAGCCCCTTACTCTGTGTCTGTCGTGTCTTCTTTCTAGATGTGCTGTCTTGCTTTTCAATTAAAATGCACGTTGCACAACTGCACTCACATTGTTTGGCTTTTTCTGGTCATTGCGAATGACTCAGAAGTTGGTGAAATGGTCAGCAGTGGCAAACTGTGCTGGTTGTCCTCTTCTTACGTTACCTCCAGAGAGTAGTGATGAACATGAGTGGCGCTGGAGTAGAAAACAAACCTGTGATGAGGCTGCATTGTAGGTGCATTTAGAGATCTTGAACCTATTTGTAATTGATTTAGTATGCGCAGTATTCGTATAAATAAGGCTCTTTTCCTCAGAGACAGAGAGCACTAAGTCACAGCTCTCCAGGAAGCTGTTAGAGACGGCACAGTTACTCTTATCCACAATCTTTTAATCTTACAAAAATAAATAAATTAATTAATAAAAATGTATTCTATGAAACTGTGTTTCTTCTCAGGAGTTCTGTGTCTGTATTAAAGTCATTGACTAAAATTTGTATCTGTCATTTCATTATCTCATCATGTTACTATTTGCCCTTTTGCAAAGTCGGAACACATTGGTGTTTTCCTTTGTGTTCCCCAGTTTTCTAACTTTTATTTAACAGTATTTCAGAGAATTATTTTGCAACTTGGCAGGGAATTTATTTGAAGAAAGATAAGTCATTAAAGTCTCCATAACATCCTGTGTGTTTCCACATGTATTTAACTGTTGTATGTCCAGTGGAAGCGAGGTATGTTAGTGAGATTGGAAGCACCATCCATCTGTTGTATGGTGTATACCAATTATGTTTTAGTGCAGTCTGTGCTATATATGTAGTTAATTACTGTAGATGACCTGTTATTGTATGTATGTAGCATTTGTGTTTGTGCTATCAGCAGGCATTTTGATCACTGTCAAAGTGATGCTTTGGGTAACGTAACATACAGTTACTCAAGATAGCACAGACTACGTTGGTAGGGATTAGTCATGCATTAAAACATAATATTTAGTTGCAGTGTGTTTTACAGGGCATTTCATGAGATCTAAAATTTGGAGCAAAGATTTGTTATTTTCTGTCACATAGGGTCTTGGTTTTCATTTACAGTACTTCATCTGCTGTCATCTTAGGATGAGAACACTGTCATTCATGAGAGCGTGAAGCAGCTGTGACTTTAGATAGCATAAATACGTTGTTTAAGTAACAAAACCCACAAACTCTAAACTGTGTTTGGAATAGCTTTTTATCTTACAAAAAAATGCTGAGATACTACTGGAATATCTGATGATCTGATATTTGATTTACAGCTGAGCCGTCGTGTCCCAGAATTCTGTACTTGGTGAGATTCTGTCCTTTTCGTTCCTGAAAACCATTCCAAGACTGAGATGACTCTTATCTGCTTCTAAGGAGCCCAGGGGGTGCTGAGCAGGAGCATAAGGTGTTCAGTGGGCCTCTATGTATTCCTCAAAACCAACAGCAAATCACACAATTTGGTAGCAGTTTGCACTGTGTATTAAGCCTGTCTTCATACAAGGCAAGGAGCAAACGTGATGACCTCGTTTTCTGCACATGAAGGTGTGTGCTATGTTACCTTACGAATTTTACGTGGCGGGTTCAGGTTGTCCTCCTTGAATTTGCCTGGCTTGGCAATTACAGATGCAGAATTTTCACTCTTCATAATAGCTTATCGTAGTAGAGAATGTAAAGAATTGGCCTCTGACACATTTATAAGTCTGTGACACTTTCAGGAACGAAGAACAAAGATCAGAATTACTTAAACTGTGTAGGAGCAGATGGGAAACGGGCAGCTTGGGCCACTAAATTGAGTAGAGAGCAATTACTGCTTGTGGTGTGGGCTCAGCCAATTTTCCAATTGATATGACATCAGTTTCAGAAATTTGACTGCTCTTCGTCCTAGTTTAGTTGCTGTTGATGGGCAGGAAAAGGAACCAGTGTTCTAGCTTCTGGCTGTGATATTTCTTTGGCGTGTTCTGTTTTGATTTCAGCTGGGTATGTGAGGTCACAGGAGTAGTGTTTTTGTGTGTGCCCAAGGGACGAGTATGTTAACAGCTTAAGAATCTTGTAGACTTGGCTAATTCTTGAAACTATCATTCAGCTTCTCAATCTTCACTTTGTTGCAGTCATGCATTTGAAAAAAATGATACTGAGAACAAAGTAAAGACTACCGATGAAGCCTAAGCACAGCGTGGTGGGAGCATCTGAGGTACTTGAAGTAAAATTTGTGTCTTTCTGGAATCTGTGATTGAAGTGCTTTGATGTGTGACTGACAGAGATCACACTTCCAGCTGGCTGCGGGTGCTTACCAAAGAAACAAGGCTTTTTGGTACACAAGTGCCCTATGTTAGCTGAGATATTTGGCTTATTTTCTTTGGATCTGTTTCTGTGACTTGTCTTTGAGCAGTGCAGGAGAAAATTTGTTGAAGAATTTGTTGGGCCGTGAGGAGCCAGACGAGGTTTGACAAAAGCAAGCGTAGAGTCTTGCACCTAGGGATGGATAACAGCATGCACCAGTACAGGCTGGGGGCTGACCTGCTGGAGAGGAGCTCTGCAGAGAAGGACCTGGATGTTCCTGTGGACGACAGGTTGGCCATGAGCCAGCAGTGTGCCCTTGTGGCCAAGACCAATGGGATCCTGGGGTGCACTAAAAAGAGTGTGGCCAGCAGATCGAGGGAGGTGATCCTCCCCTTCTCCTCTGCCCTGGTGAGGCCTCATCTGGAGTACTGTGTCCAGTTCTGGGCTCCCTGGTACAAAGTAGGAAGGGATCTCCTGGAAAGAGTCCAGCAGAAGGCCACAAAGATTTGAAAGGGCCTGGAGCATCTCCCATGCGAGGAAAGGCTGAGTGAACTGGGTCTGTTCAGCCTTGAGAAAAGAAGACTGAGAGGGGATTTGATCGATGCCTATAAACATCTAAAGTGTGGAAGGCAAAGGGACAATGCCAGACTTATTTCAGCAGTGCATGGCCAAAGGATGAGGGGAAACGGCCACAATCTGAAGTATAGGAAGTTTCACACAAATGTGTGTAAGAATTTCACAGTGTGGGTGACGGAGCTGACCGGAGAGGTTGTGGAATCTCCTTCTCTGGAGACATTCAGGACCTGTCTGGACGCCTACCTGTGCAACCTGGCCTAGGGAGTCTGCTTTGCAGGAGGTTGGACTGGATCATCTCTAGAGGTCCCTTCCAGCACCTACAATTCTGTGACTGAAAAATCTCTGTCAGTAGACATGTTCTGCTCACCTGCTTGTTTTTTGTGTGGGTTATTCTAGATCAGCATAAATACTTTGTAGGTGTATTCTTTGCTGCTGCTGTCACTTGATACTGTACCTAATATGTGGATTGGAAGAAGAACTGTCAACTCTACTGTTACGCTTGCTAATATCCATTGGTAACACGTAGCACAAATGAAAATGGGCTTCTGTGTGCTCATTCCATCCCGGTGCCTTGCAGGCACATGCTGTATTTCCTTTGAGGAGGAAATGTCGTGAGGAAAACTTTATCAGCACCCTTCTATCTCTGCTTTCTGTTTGTACCACAGCGTACCGGCACGTTGGGGCTGGGCTTTCCTGCACCATCAGGATAGCTGCTGCTTTGATGTCTGCCTTAATGTGTTCTACCTCCAACCTCACTGCATAACAAGTGAAATGTGTGCATAATCTTCTTTCCCTGCTGCTGCTGCACACCACGTTCATATGTCCCCAGTGTACTGGCAGGGCATCACAGCCAGCTGTGCATCTGGTGCTGGGCACAGCCTGCCCCTCTGCCCCTGGAGGAATACTGCGTTGGTGCCAGTCCCAGAAAGCAGATGGAATACTTCTGCTGAATGGGAGGAACGGGAAAGTGGAAAGAGAAGCAGAGGGAAGGCTCACCTGCTTCTTTGTTGTCACTGTGTCGC